AGGGAGGGGAACAGAGATAGGGGCAGAGAGAGACACAGAGGGAGAGGAGAGGAGACAGGGTCTGCGTGTGGGAGCAGGGAGGGCTGGGGGCTGGCGGGGAAGGAGCAGAAGGCCCAGGCCGGGAGGGGGCAGGGCAGGGGGGCTTGACCCAAGAGACCCATAAAGGCGAGGACAAGAGGAGGGCCAGAGGGCTGGCCAGGCCAGGCCCAGGGCGAGGGGAGAGGCGCGGAGGGATGGAGAGGCAGATGGGGGGGGCTAGGTGCCCCGCCAGTGGTGGGGATGAGCTGGAGGAGAGCAGAGTGAGGCTGGAGCGGCCGCCGAGGTGGCCGAGGGGAGACCATGCCCATCCCAGGCCGCCGAGGTCCTGCTGAGCCCCAGGGCTGCCGGGCTGGAGGGTTTTCTCTCTGACATTTTTACTAGTCTCGGAAGGAGGGGGAGGGGGAGGAGGCCGAGGGGGGAGAAGGGGGCTGGGGGGAACAAAAGGGAAGCAGCTGCTAAACGTCCTGAAGGAGAGACCCACAGAGTCCGTGAGGCCGCACGGACGGGGACAGACAGACGGGCACCCAGGCGCCCGGGGGGCAGCTCGCGGGGAGCCGGCCCGGGAGACCCCCAGGGCCAGGGGGCCCGGGGTGGACCGACACAGGCCACAGACAGGGAGACAGGGCGAGCAGACGGGGAGGGGCTGTCAAAGCCAGAGAGCCCAGACGGCCAGCCAGACGGAGAGGCAGCTCGGATCGAGGGACAGGGGCAGGAAAGGAGAGAAGGAGGGGGAGGGGGTCCCAGTGGCTGGAGGAGGAGCAGGGGGAGGGCAGCAGACAGAGGCCGGCAGCCTTTGCAGAAGGAGCAGCCGTGTCCCCAGGGCTGGGGTCAAGCCAGGTCGCCGGCCCGCGGGGCGGCGGCCAGCAGCATGAGCGGCTCGGCCCTCCTGAGGAGCAGTTCCGGCAAACGGGGCCTGGACAAGCTGGTGAGGTAGGTGCCCCCCGGCCCAGGCTGGGGCAGGGCGGGCAGGGCCAGGCAGCCGGGCCAGGAGCCCGGGCACCCAGGGCAGGGCGAGGGCTGTGCACGTGCGCCGGCTGTGTGCACGCGGCCCGCTTCCTCCTCTCGGCCCACGGCTCTGCACACTCTTTGCCCACCTGCACGCCCGCTTGGCCTTGGCAGGACCGCTCTCTTCCCAGACACCTTCCCCTGGCCCCGGGGCCTCTGGCCCAGTCCGCTGCTCCCAGGGCGAAGGGGTGTCCTCGGCACGCTTCCAAGGCCTTGCCTATGCTCCCGCCGGCCCCTGGGGACCACCCTGTCACCCCTTGCTTTACAGATGATGAAGCCGGACTTCGCGGCCACATTCACCACCCCCTTAGTGCACCAGCCCTGCATGGGAGGCGCCACAGGGCCGTGGTGAGTGCTTGGGCCTCGGAGTCAGATTCTCCCTGGGCTGGAATCCTGGCTCCTGTGTCTCGGGCTGTGGGCCAGGACCCTATCCTCCCTGGGCCTCAGTTTCCTCCTTTGTAAAGTAGTGGCGTGGTGTCACCTACCTTGAAGAGGAGTGAACAGAAGCAAAGGGCCAGGGGCAGGCCCAGAGCCACCACTCCATTCCACGGGCTTCTCAACACTTTACTCTGAGCCGCCTGCAATGCCCTTCCTCCTTCTCTACCCTTCCAGGCATCTAAGGCCCAGCTGAAATGCTGCCTCCTCCATGCAGCCTTCTTTGGCTTCTCCTTCAATGGCATGGAGCGTGCTGGGCAGACTGCAAGCTCCTGGAGGGAGGGACAGGCATCAGCCTCCCCAGCTCCACCCACGCCTTGACTCTGGGAGGGAGGAGAGACACGGCGTGCGGGTCGTGCAGGTCGGCTGAGAGCAGCCCCAGAGCAGCTCCCGCTCCGGCCAGTCGGGTCCCTCAGACATGAGTGACGGCTCTCTCCTGGCCCCTCCCAGGCATGGCCCACAGGCCACCACTCAGGGTCAGGACCAGCAACGGGGTTTGAGGGGGCCCCTGCTGGCCATGGTCCCCCGCAGCCCCACCCTGCCTACTCGGAAGGTGGACCCCTGTTCCTGGGCTTCATACCTGTTCCTTCCTGGCTCTGCCAGGCCCACCCTGGTGCTGCTGACCAGGAGACCCCCAGGCAGGGCTCCTCCTCTCTGCCCAGCTGGGATGCATCCTCCCAGGAGTCACTGCGGCTGTCCCCTTCCAGAAAGCTCTGTGGCCCGAGGACTAACGGGTGCCCAGGGTCAATCCGTGAGGCTCACCAGCACTGCTTAACAAAGGGGGAAACTGAAGCCCAGCAGGGCAATCATGCAGGAAGAGTCCCAAGGTGCGCGGGACTCAGGTCCCTCATCCCAGGAGGACCTGGGTCACAAATGTCTGTCCAAGAGTGGCTTTGGCTCTGCTTCCAAACCCAGTGTTAGGCTGCTGCCCTGGGCGAGCAGGGACAGTGGAGGCAGCGACGGGGCTTGGACGTGCAGCTCCAGCTTCGCTGGGTCGGGGGGCGGGTACAGGCTGGGGAGTGAGCCCCGAGCCCCTGAGGGACCTGCAGAGGCCAGTGGGACAGAGAGAGAAGGACGCGTCCCTTTGAACTCCGTGCGCCGTCCTGCTGCCGGGGGGCTGCACGGGGAGCAGGAGAGAGTCTCTCCCAAAGAGTGATGTCAGGGTGCCTGTGTCCGGCTTCGGTGAGCGAATCATACAGCTCACATGGTGATGCTCACAGGTGTGTGGTCAGTGCAGGCCCGGAGCCAGCCCTGGGCCGGGAGATCCCCACCCACCCGTGGACTCCAGGGGCCAGGCGGCTAGTGGCATTCCCACCACCCTCACCGATATTAGCGCCTGTCCTGCCTCTCACGGGCTTCACTTCCCGAAGCCCGGGCCGACGGCCCCTTGTCCCTGCTGGACAGACAGAAAACCAGGCTCAGAGAGGCTAGTGACTTGCCCTGGGTCACCCTGGGAGGGGGGACCTGACAGCCATGCCCACTGCGTCACCCTAATCCTTCGCTGGGGACCGCCGGGGTGCGGGGCAGGGCCCTCTCTGTGACAAGCTCAGTGGAGGCATTCGGGAAGCCAGCAGGGGTGGGTGTAAATTGAATCCAGTTTAAGTAGGTTAAAAATGGGCCCGGGAGGGGGGACTTGTCCCCGTGCCCATCCGTACCCCTGTCTCAGCTCGGCATCATGCCCGCGGCCGCGGTGCGGGTCCTCGCCAACTGTCACTGCGCAGGAGGAGGCTTCAGGTGGCAGGGCTGGCCAGAGCCGACTCCTCCTCCTGCTGTGCCCCCAGACCCGGCTCCCCGTCCCTCTGTCCCCTCCTACTGCCCCTGGCGATCCAAAGCTCAGCCAGGCCCATCCTGGGCCAGGCCAGTGTTAAGGATGAGCAGGGAGCACCACTCAATTCCACAGAACCCCTAGGTTCCAGCTGCCTGCCTGGTCAAATGGTCTCTGGGGACCGGGCTTTGTGAAGGGGGGCCTTGGCTGGCACGGACCAAAGGGGCTGGGTCACCCTGCTGGTGTCTCTCTTGGCATTCAGGCTCACGGTCCCCCCGGGGAGGCTCTGGGAGCTGGAGGAGCCCTGAGGCAAGCCCCTCTGCCCACTGCTCTGGGCACACGTCCACCATAGACATGCCGGCAATCTTCATGCCTGGCCTCCCACCCTGGGCAGCCAGGTCTGGGAGGCCTCTGGGGACCCCGGTGTGGCCAGCAGGGCCAGGGATGAGCCAGCCTGAGGAGGCGGGGGTCAGGGTGGGGGGGGGTGGCAGCCAAGCCTCCAAACCAGTGTCCAAAGGGGCGTGGCTGCCTCGGGCCCACCCAGGGCCCCAGATGGGAGGAGGGCTGGCCCTCACCCTGGCAGAGCCCGGGCGTCTGGTGGGTGGTGCTGCCCTGGGACCAGGCGGTCTGCCGGCCAGAGCTGCCCCAGGAGCCCAGGCGAGCTGGCATCGCGGGGGTGCGGAGCCTGAGTGGCCCAGCCCCCTGGGCAGGGCATCAGGGCCGGAGCCCAGAGCACTGAGGTTCAGGCTCCAGTCCCATCCCACGAACAAGAGCTGGACAGGGCGGCAAGCAAGCAGCAACCCGGGTGCACTGGGCACCTGGGGGCTCTCCCCCCACGCCCCTGCCGGAGCCTCGAGAGGGCACCCTATGGCACCTGAGCCCCGAGGGTTGGCTGCAGTGGGCAGGGCTCCCGGGAACACCTCATCGAGCTCGGAGTGGCTCAGCACAGGTTGGTGGCCTGGGGCCAACCCACACAGGTGTCCAGGGGCAGGTGGGAGCTGGGGGTGGAGGAAGCCTCGGCGGCCCCGGGGGGCAGGGAGAATGTGGGATCAGACCGTGGGCCACCCCAAAAGGTGAGAACGTGGCTAGGAGGGGTGCTGCCCACCTGGGAAGGGAAAGGTCCTGAGTGGGCTTGAGGGGAGGTGGGGGGCAGGGGGCCGTGTGCCCGGCGGGCTGTGAGGCTCTCCCAAAATGTGTCCTAACAGGTGTGGGGGGAGGAAGAGATGAAAAGAGAGAAAAGAAGTGAGAGGTGAGAGCGAGGGAAGGAGGATAGGGAGGAGGGGGCAC